CCATTCATGCATCAACCGATGCATCACCGTTTCCAAGTACGTTATGTACGGACATTTTAAAAAAATGTGCCCTGTATATACGTACTCCCTTATCATATATAATTAATTTATCTATTGATCACGGAATATATCCAGAAAGTTTAAAGTTATCTGTAGTGAAACCCTTACTAAAGAAAGATGACCCATGCGATATTAGTAAATATAGACCAGTTACAATGATACCGATTCTTGCAAAAATTTTTGAAAAAATAATACATAAACGCTTACTACATTATTTCATTAAGCACAACATACTAAGCATTTACAGCACTATTTTTAGATATGAGCAGAGCTTTCGATTTTGTTCAACATGACAAATTAATAGATAAACTTTATAGATACGGTATAAGAGGGAATTCACAACAATGGATCACAAGTTATTTAAAGGATCGAAAGCAGTGCACCGAAATAACAAAGATATTAAACGCGACTAAAATTAAAAAGACTAGCTGTATAGTTATGTTAAATGTGGAGTCCCGCAAGGTAGTGTACTAGGGCCACTTCTATTTTTAATTAATCTTAATGATTTACCGAATGCAATAAAGCACCCATGCATATTGTTTGCTGATGACACTACTATTTTGATACAAAATAAAAACAAGGACACATATGAAATTGAAATAAATAATGCATTATTTGACTGGCTAGATTGGCTAAATTAAAATAATCTTAAAATTAATATAAATAAGACTAAGCTAATACAATTTAAAACATATAACAGCAAAACAAAATCAATCAACATAACACATAATGATGAAAAAGTAGAAGAATTTTAGGAATAATTTACGACAAACATTGTAATTGGCAAGCTCATGTCGATATGATTTGCAGAAGATTAGATAAGTTTGTATATGCACTCGGTCAGCTTAGACGAACGGTGTCTAAAGAAGCAGCATTAAGCGCACACTACGGTTATGTTTTTTCGGCGTTATCATATGGATTTATTATTTGGGGTAACTCAGCGTACGCAACAAAAGCATTCAAAATTAAAAAAAAAATGTATTAGAGCCATTTGCCGAGCGAAACCTCTCGACAGCTGTAAACCACTATTTAAAAGGTTAGGCATGTTAACCTCTTCCTGCGATGTATGTTAAGGAGATGTGCATTATGGTGAAAAGGTATCCGAAATATTTTGAATTAAGTTATAATTACAACAATAGATCCTTACGTCGACCAGAAAAACTATATGTTCCTAAATGTAACCTAAATATATATAAAAAGAATGCATACTTTATGTTCATAACTTTGTACAATAAATTACCGTTAGAAATTAAACAATTGCCCCTTTTCTTCGTTTAAGACGAAAATAACCAGATGGCTTCTAGATAAAATGATTTATAATATAAATGACTATCTGTTACGTAATACTGACATTTAATAATTTGACATAGGTATGTAATATCCTTATAATAATTTTAATGGAATAATTTATTATGTTTAAATGTGAATAATTGATTATATTTTAAATATTTTAATGTGAATAATTTTATATTAAATTGACAATTGTATGCTGAAGTCAGCTGAATATGTTGCACCAAATTATTATTTATAATTAAGATCACAATGTACTACCATATTCTGGCAATAAAGACACACATTCACTCATTCATTCATTATACGAGAAGACCGATTCATCGTAAGCACTATGCTAAGAAATCGATATCTCATTCTTCAAGTTTGAAATTCAAAACAACTAATTCAAGAAATTTAAAACAACTATGTGATCTCTGACACAATTTTACGATGTTTGTGACATGTTTTGTTTAAGATGTTTGCGAGGTCCATCCGAGTAAGTACCACGACCTCACAGAAGACCAGCGTGAAGTGGAGGTGTTATACATCTGCGTTTCGTCAGGCGAGTGAGGTAGCCGGGGCCCACTTAAATGGCAACCCATCTGCAACCCTACGATTGTTACAAATGTCAATATTTAGCGGCGATTGTCACTTAACATCGGGTGAACCAGGTTCAGATCATTTGCCCCTTTCTCACATAAAAAGAAAATTTTTATTATTTATGGAACTCACAATTTTTTGCTACCCTTATAAAAGGAAGCACAAAGCTTTTTGTTTGTGTATGTTCTAGCTAATACTCGATTGGTATATGGTAGAAATGAAACATGCCAAAATTATCTTGAACTCTTCGGAATCAACAAGAAGACTACGTGACATGTTTTAACCAATGTTGGAATTTGGAGAAATCTAGCCGGCACAATCACAATCACAATATCAAAGCACTATCACAAGTGTCCCAACGAACACAAATAATTTAAAGTGATAGCAAATATGATTGCGTCTCTACACAACTTTCAGTTCGTTAGCCACATGTATCGTATTTCCCTGTTAAATTCCCTCGATGCTAACCGCAGCTCATTTGATACAATTCATAGACGCTTGACAAGAGAAAATCCTGCTGAACGTCACGCAAATGGTCGAGACACGTGCCGATACCCTCTGCGATAGCTGCAAACATTTGTTATACGATTTACAAAACATACTGGTTTACGCCCGAGAGCTTTTAGGGTTCCGGGTGGATTTTTTAACTTTTTAAATATCTGCTTGCAGTGCATTGTTTTGTATGCTCATAAAGCACTGTAAGATTACCTAAAGATTATAATTACATCCAATATCATGATAAACAATTGGCAAGAATAATGGCGCCACGGATATCGGTTCCACATACAAAATGTAAACGATTGTGAACTTTTCGGATATATTTATAAATAAGGTTAGATTACTTAGCTGTGATAACTTAGTGACCAGGCGTATGCACGCACCAATGTAATTGTTAATTGCATCTTTATAAAAAGTCGTTATAAACATCGTTCTTGCCTATAATATATAATACAATTAATAATAATTTTTGGACGGCTCGCGTGACGGTCTATCCCCAGATACCATTTTTAAGGAGGAGCTCTTTGCCCAGCAATGCGTCATACTACATTTATATTCATAGAGAAATGATCATTGCTCTAAGAGAGGTTGTTATGTATAACTATTAGTTATAAATAACAACCTCTCTTAGACCTTGATAAATAATCTATGAGCCTCACCATACAAAATATTTATTTAAACACATACGGAACCACAATTACTCATGTTGATTGCTCTTGACAGTCATTATATTGTTAGTATCGCCCCTGGCAGATAAATTGTTCGGTTATTGATTGGCAGTTAGTAACGCCCCGAGTAATACTTTATTCTTTGTAAATCCAACAGGCCACAAGCTTGGGGTGAGTTTCCATGATACGTTAATTTATGTGTGATTTCTTTCTCTAAGTAAATTTCTATGTACATATATACCTGATATAAATTTGCAATATATACAATAATTGTTTTTTTTTTTTTTTTTCATTTTTACAGTATTTGGGTCTTCTGTAGAGATTTCACTATTAATGATATTTCGTAAAAAGTCCACAGACAATCCAAATCTACATAGTCTAATTTTTTCAGGAAAGTTTTTACTGAGCCACAGAATATATAAAAGAGGTCTCTTAACTCTTCCGTGGTTTTATCCATGCAGAGTAACTAGCCTATTCCGTTGGACGAGTGGGCCGGTTTTTGTGGGAATTATGTAATATTAAAACGTTGAATACTTTTTGTGCATATTTTAAATTTATAATAAGTTTACGCACCACTGGAAAGTATTTGTGTTTACCATTTTTGTCCACTAAGCGAAGAAGCTTTAGATGTTATGCATAATCATGGGGGCGATAGTCGTTTAAAATCAGGTGCCGAATGTTTATTTTCCATATTCTTTATTCAAAAACGTCGTACGCCGTAAAAATATCAAGCGTCGGTTAGTTGAGCACCCTATTAGCTACGTGAAAAGTAATCGGCAAAATAAGACTGAAATTTTATTTATCAATAAATAGAAGTAGAAATCTCCTGATTTAAATGGAAATAAATAGTTCAGATTTCAGGTAACAAAGATATCTTATTAGTGATTCGGTCTTATATAGTTCGCTTATTTGTCAAAAAAGGTTTTAGTTTCAGTATAATTAGTGCAATAAATTAGCCTAGTAGCTAATGTTGGATCAGAAAAAAAAATTAATATCATACAAAAAAATAACACACTAATTTTCCAATTTCTTTTTTAATCATCGTGAATAACTCATTATGAAACAATTTGATCACCGATAAAATTTATCGATCTAAAGATTTCACCGCTGTTACTTTTGTTATATTGAATGCAGAATAAGACGAGATATCAACTATAGTTTTTTTTCCACGACTGTAGAAGACGTCCACATTTATGACGTCAATGTGTTTCGAATATTCAAGATGGCGCGTTGACGGTTTTATTCTCCTACCCTATAAGAAGAGATTTTTATAATTGTTCTTTTATGGTTTAATATAATACCAACGCCGAGTCTTTAGCTCTTGATGACAGACTAATGTCGCGATAACAATTTATAGGGCGTGTTTCGTACATCATGTGTGAAGTGACATACATGGTCGTGTCATATTTTAAAATTTATAGCCTTTAATTTTTTATTGTGATTATTTATTTATGTTTCAGGTTATTATATAAAAATAAAAATTGTAATATATTCTAAAAACTTCAATTCATTTAAAAGGTTGCAGCTGATTTAAAGTTTTCAGCTCATTTAAAGGGTCTTAAAATATTTAATATGTTCGCTATCGAGAATAACAAATATCGACTATTCTGAAGTGAAAATTATTTAGTATTTTGGCGTAAATCAGGAAAGGGTAATCAATAAGGAAAAATTGTAATTGAAAAATTTGAAACCCGAAATCTTATACCCTTATTTGTCTGACAATCTTTTGGCTTGCAAGGAAATGTAAAAAAGAATTTCGTTTGATTTGTAATTATTACCTTTTAATAAGAATAAAAATCTGATAGGACACCGTACTATATTGCTTCATTACACCATAAAAATTAACTCAATATATATTACTTATGAATAATTACGACAAACATGCATAATATTCGTCGTTTAATCTAATATTACAAGATCTTCAAGGGGTACATTTTCAGCAAGATTACCTATGTTCTTGACTATTGCTTCGATAATAGTTTTAACAATTGCTGGCCCTAATTCAGATACTATTAAATCTGGATTACTTTCAATTATTTCTCGGGCAGCTTGAGCTGAAAGAATGTAAAAAGTAAAATGTAAAGTAACATGCGACCCCACTGTGGATTGGCGGACTTCACACATCTTAGAAATGTTTTTTGTTGTTACTTCGAAAATATGCAGGTTTCCTCAGTATTTTTTCCTTCACCTCAGCGGTGATAAATTAGCACTTAAAATTAATGATTCTATTGGTGCTGGCATCGGGGATCGAATTCAGGTTGCTCGAGTATCTCGGAGCTATCACGGCTTAACTTGAAATTTTTGGTTTGGTTTAAGAACAGGTGGAATTTATTCTTTAACGTAATTTTTGGAAAGCAACAATGTTTTGTTATAATCATAAAGTTTATGTGAGTAAATGTGTAAAAAAGAAAAGAAAATGTTCATTATTATCATTAACTTATATACTTTTAATTAGTTCTTAGGATATTACGTCAGATTTAACTTACCTAATACTTTATTATGAGGGAACAAATTATCGAAATGCATTTTAGCGTCGGGCTTAAACTCATAAGTATGAGTACAGGATTTAATTTTTAAATATTTCTTTTCATCTTTAGTTCTTTCGTTTAATACACACACCACCTCAAAAGTTGTGTCGTCTATAAAATCAAAATGTTTGTTTTGTTATTCATGTTATTGATAATACATCATCTGGTTCTAATAGGTGATTAACGAATAGTATTTAATTCTTTCTTTTTTGTTATGTAATTATTTAAATTGCAAAAATTAAAATATTAAAAAAAAAACGTACTGATCACAGCATTTGTTTTGCCTTTTCCTTCTATGGGTATAAGCAATTGACCTTTCATTTCGTACTGTGCATCCATTTCAACGCTGCACACAACTTTAACGATTAAGTTTTTTGAAATGTTTTTGATATTCTGAAATCTGAAAATGATTATTTAAAATAATTGAACGTATAAATTATGTAAAGATATAAAACTTATCTAAAGTTAATGAAGTAATAACACTTTTAGGAAATACCATTTACCTCCATAACACATTTTAGATTTCTTTTTATTTTTAATCAAAGCGATATTTAACAAGGAAAATAATAATTATTAAAAAGTATTGTTGACTCTTGAAAATTATGAGTAATCAGAACAGTTTCTGTTTCACTATAATAAACTGAAACAGCTATGAACAAACACTCACTCAGTATTTTTCACAACGCAACCTTTCAAACCTTTGAGCTGTACGTCATTCAATATCAGCCTTAGATTAGTGGTACTACCATCAATCTTCTTAAAAAATATTGGGTCTAGCTCGCGGACACCAATTTCAGGAATGCCAGCGGCAAATATAGGTATCGCCTCTTGAGCCGACTTTAGTATGCATTCTTTATCGTCCATTTTGCATTTGTTTATAAATGGCACTGCAATTGGAACATAAGCTTTTAGTTTATCGAAAAAAATTAATTCAATCTTTCAGACGGCCTAAGCAATAGAGCTAAAATTATAAACACATGTCTCATTTTTGTTACTATTATGTTAAAATAAAAATTATTAACCTACCGAAAGAGGTACTTTCGGTGGTAGGGCCACGCAGCAGCCTCGGCTGTTGCGCGAATGGGCACTGGCGTAAAGTGGAAGTATAGTGGAAGTAAGTGGAAGTAAAGTGGAAGTATATACATATACAAGTACCCCATTAAATTACCTAAGTGATACATCTTGCTCTCTCCGAATTTATGATTGTTTTGTACTATGCCCTATAAACAGGGTCCATAAAGAACTATTTTACTAAGTACCCTAACACCTTTCTGTTACTTAATGGATGTGCATAAATTATAATAATAAATTAATAAATTAATAAATAAATAAATGAATAAATAAGTATGAAAAATCCTTTCGCGTTTCATCTGGTGAGTGAGGTAGCCGGAGCCCAATTTTCAAAAGGTTGTAAACGCATCTGTAACCCACGGGTGTAGCAGATGTCCATGGGCGGCGGTATTCACTTACCATCAGGTGAACCGTCTGCTCGTTTGTCAACTTTTCACATCCCATCCAATCCAATCAGCCTTTTGCAGTCCACTGCTGGACATAGGCCTCCCCAAGAGTACGCCACAGAGTACGATCTTCCGCTTTCCTCATCCAGCCACTACCAGCGACCTTTCTCAGGTCATCGGTCCACCTGGCAGGGGGACGTCCGACACTACGTTTTCCGAGACGTGGTCTCCATTCGAGAACCCGTCTGCTCCAGCACTCATCGGTTCTACGACAGATGTGGCCAGCCCACTGCCACTTCAGCTTGCTACACTTACGGACTATATCGACATCTTTGCTCCTCTGCCGGATAATTTCGTTTCGGATTTATCCCTTAGCGAAATACTGAGCATAGATTTGGTAGTACCAAACTTTTCACATAAAAACCTACCTATTTAGGTATATAAATTGATTTGTAGAGATTTCATATCTCAAACAGTGAAGTGTATATACGTAAGTCATGGTAATGTTATATGATTAAGTCCACTATGAGATAAATAAATAAAAAATACATTATTATGACCATATTGATTTCTAATTTTTACACAAATATATGGTTCAATAAAACTATTTTACGGACTTTATTGTTTCATTTCAATTTTAAATTACCGACGTTCCGTCTCCTTTCCTGCGGTGGTCAAGGGACAGACTGTCCGAAATTAAAGCCGTAAAATAGTCTCATTTATTATAAACATTTAAAAAATAGGTATGTTTAATGGCACTCCTTAAATACAATAAGGATGGCTTACATTACCTGACGATGCGTATACGCATAGTATAAAAGCGGAAAAGTATTTCCAAACGATAAATAGGCTTCGATACATTTCAGAACACAAGATGCACAGGTGTATAACATACCCAACGGTCAAGTAATGTTTGATTTAACATTAACATTGTAATTGACTTTATATACCTTTAAGAATCTTTTAGAGATTACCCCAACTTCTTTTAGTCATTTATGTATACGAACAAAACTTATAACTCATTTGTTATAACAAAATGTATACTTAATTTATTATAATAATTAATGTGAATCATTATTGTAAACTGACAGAAATATAAACTGCATAAAATTACAGGATGATAATTTTATGCAGTTTAGGTATATTTCATTGATCAAATTTCAAAGTTTAATTACAGCAAACTTTCAAATTTGATGAATGGCAGAAGTGAAATATAAAATGATTATTAAAATTAAGCTGTGCTAAATTACAAAAAAATGTGTTTTTAAATATAAGAAAAGAAAATGAACAAAAACCTTCGGAGACATTAACGATTTTCGCTGGCCGTGGAAATACCTGATATCAGTTTTTAAAAGATCTTGCGATATAATGATAAATTTTCATATTAATGTAATTCATAGGGCCAATTCATAGGGCCAATTCATAGGCATTTATAGGGCCTGGGATATAATATACTAGCTGATGCCCGCACGGATGTCCGTTATCGCTACCAAAATTAAACATGAATTTTGATCCCGTTCTGCGGGAACGGGACCTATGGGAACCTATAAAAAAAAGTTTTTATGTGACCCACAGATAATTGTTTCGAATCTGGGTCTTTTTTTCCCTATAAAGGGTTGACGTCAGACAGGCGGCCGGTCGCATAAAACATAGCCACAACCGCTTACAACATTATTCACATGTGGTGCCGACCCCAACTAGGCGGGATAAGAGCACGAGGATGACGATGATGACTGGTATGACAATACAGTAAGCAGTTATAACGAATCTTACAATTATTTTTAAATAAACCTAGAATTTAGAGCCGTGATAGCTCAGTGTCCGGGCGCTCGCCTTTAATTCAATATACTCGAGAAACCTGAGTTCGATCCCCGGTGCCGGCACCAATGAAGTTTTTAACTTTAAGTGCTGACTTATCACGTGCTCCGCGGTGAAGGAAAACATCGTGAGGAAACCTGCATATTTTCGAAATAATAAAAAAAAATATATATATTTCGAAAAAATGTGATGTCCGCCAAACCGCAGTGGGGCCGCGTGATGGACTATGCCCTGATACCCTCTCTATAGACGAGGCCTTAGCCCAGCAGTGGGACATGTATTGGCTGTTACTTTACTTTTAAACCTAGAATTTTTGAAAATATACACGCACTATTCACATATTATACAAAAAATTTCTTTTCTTAAGCATCCTCTTAAGTACCAGTTTCTAACCAAGCGAAAAAAAAATGGGACTCAGTATATTCAATAAATGTTAATATTGGAAAATCATCCTGTATATCCATGTACCTATATTATTTCAAAATGGACTTTATTTGTAAGTAAGTAATATGCCATATATTCCCTTTAAAATTTATAAAAATTAATGATTGAGATATAAATTCAAAAGCCGTGATAGCTCAGTGTCCGGGCGCTCGCCTTTAATTCAATATACTCGAGCAACATAAGTTCGATCCCCGGTGCCGGCACCAATGAAGTTTTTAACTTTAAGTGCTGACTTATCACGTGCTCCGCGGTGAAGGAAAACATCGTGAGGAAACCTGCATATTTTCGAAATAATAAAAAAAAATATATATTTCGAAAATATGTGAAGTCCGCCAATCCGCAGTGGGGCCGCGTGATGGACTATGCCCTGATACCCTCTGTATAGACGAGGCCTTAGCCCAGCAGTGGGACATGCATAGGCTGTTACTCTATAAATTCAAAGTTGATGGTCTACAATAAGATTGTTGCCTAAGTTAATTCACAGTGATGTTTTCCCATTTATAAGCAGAATGGCTGGTTCCTCCATATTTGACATTGACATTCATTATAATTATAGACACTATCACACATGGAAAAAAATATAAATTATTAAAAATGTAACATTTAAATTAGCTTTTTATACTGTGTGTCCAATCAATAAAGCCACAGACCAGACGTATCCTTAACTGTTTACTTAATCTGAAAACTAGATGGATTACATGTCAATACTGAGTACAAATAAATTGTAGTGAACAAGATGGGAGATTTCATCAGGACATGTTCTCACGAAAATCATTACCCGATTGTACATTAAATGATAAATTTAGTTTAAATTTAGAATTTCGTACTTTTCATAAAAATATAAGTTATTAATCTCACAAAGAAACCTTTTGTGTCAAATCATTTTGAGATTTATTTTTAACCAATCCATGTTTTGTGTTTTCACTTTATAAGTAGCCAGTCATAACTTTGGGTTAAAATTAAGCTATTATTTCCTGTAGAATAGAAGAAGTAGTTACTTCTTAGGGATTATTTGATGGGATAAATAACAAACAACCTGAAGTATTTTACTATGGAAGTCATATTTTTATTGAATATAAAAATTACTTAATCAATAGATAGTTCCTTCGCAGAAACAGCATGGAAGAATTTATTGACTTCTGAGACCATTTCATCAACTATAGTCTTCACCACAGGTTGACCAACTTCCAAGATAATTTCATTACCGTTGTTAGCTATAACTTCTTCCACTGGTTTTTCTGCAAAATAAAAAATAATGCAACAAATATCAAAATTAGTAGATAATGCCATTGTAAAACCAATACGGGTACTTTTTTATAATGTGAAGAAGTGGCAAGCAAGCTGGTGGTTCACCTGATGTTAAGTGACAACCGCCACAAACGGATATTTGCAACACCTGAAGGATTGCAGGTGCGTTGGTACCTTTTAATTGAGTGGTTCCCGGCTATCTCACTCATCAGACAAAACGCAGAAGTGAAACACTTCCACTTCACGCCGGTCTTCTGTGGTGGTACTTCCCCCGGACGGACCTGCCCATTCGTGCAACAGTGAACGGTTTCGTGGCCCTATCACAACTGCCACTTTCACAGCTTTATGTCGTATGTATAGTTGATGTGTGGTTCTGCAGCAGGTATGAATCAATTTTTTTTTACATAGCTCGCTCGAGAGGCGTGAAAATTAACCCCACGCGTTACGTTGCGTATATTTGTGAGAAAACAGACAAATCTACGGTCTCCTTATGTATTCGCCGTCAAGTGTCATTTACGTAAAAAAAGTTAAAATCCCCTGAAACAAATTCTATATCAGGTAAAATGGGTCATGATAATCTCCGAAAGTTACTTAAGATAAATAGTCCAATGTATGGGTTAACACATATCTCCTAGCAAAGATATCTTGTAAATAAAAGTAAATACTAATCGATAAAAAATTAAGATTGAGAAATTTATTTTCTTTAAGCCAGTTTACAATGAAAAAGATGGGTTTTCAAGTATAAAGTATACTAAGCCAATTACTCGAAAGCAAAATCGTGGTTACTTAAAAGTAAACTGTTTAAATTCTGAGATACTAACTTAATTCTTCATTTCCATCCAATAGGTTTCCAAAAACAACTTCTGAATTATCCTTTAATTCGTATGAGTGTTTCCACTGTTTGATGTTCCATTTGTCGTTTTGTTCTTCTAAATCGATATCCACGCTTATTTCAGCTTTTCCTGGTGATGATTAAAGAGAGTTTTTAAAAGAGAAATTCACATAACATAGTGACATGTTAAGGGATACTATGCTATCTTCTCTCAAACACCATGATGTTCTCGCTACGCTGCTCTCCGAGGGTAACCTACCTACTATACCGCCATAATAAAATTGATAAATAATTACCACTGATTTTCTCAGAAAAGGAGAGACCTAATAAGACAAAATTTTTACCAGATATTGCTAGATTCTGTGATTCTTCGGCAACGACAAGTACCATTAGGTTTTCGGCCCACTGCGGATTGGCGGACAATAAACAAATAAGATAATGTATATATTTGTGATTTACCCTTAGCTGAAACTGAATTCGACTAACTACTACTGCTAAGAAAAACTCAGTGATTTTTAACTTAATAAGTTTGTTGTTCGAGCCGTTTATGTTTTTATATCTTAAGGTAAATTCTGTTGCCTATAATTTATAAATCGAAACTTTCATCAATCACATTTTCTTCCTTTTTTACATTGACTTTTGTCTTGCCTTGTGTTTTGACTTCTTAGTCATCATAGAATCGTCCATTTTTACCTAAATTGTTAAAACCCTAAAATTATTATAATTTCTACAAAAACACGCAAATAGCGTTTTAATTTTGTTTCTTTATTGCACAGTTGTTTATTACCAACGTTTTGATTGGTGTAAAGCAGACGATATTTCTGTACATTGTGCATAATAGGCGAAAGCTGAACAACATTCGAACTGCAAATGGTATAAAAGAATAATTGAAATGAGGCTCCACCAAATTTATGAAATTGATTTGTAGCGAACATTTCTTTAGGTAAAGTATATATAAAAATACGAACACGTATTATTTATTATGTTATTAAAACTAAATGAATTTATCTCGCTAATAAAAATGTTCACCTTTGAACAGTTGTTTACATACTACATTTAAAGATGCATGACATAATTGTTTACATGTTGTTGACTTTAGGTATTATTCACGGTTAATTTCCTGGTAATTGAGTAAACGGCCTTCTTTTGAAGAAGGAAATGAATAGTAATTGTATACGAGTACATGGTCAAATAATAATCTCGATATCACAAGTTGTACTTCCCCTTAACGCAAGTCTTCTAGCGAGCCTGACTATTACTGCAACAGCAGAGGCTCCTTCGTAGCCCACAGTAAACAAGGAATGAAGCTTGATGGTCTGTTGTAATATTGTTATCACTATTATTTTTTGTCGTTCAATAAGAGCTTAATTTAATCTTATATCGAATAAAGATATTTTGACTTTGACTTTGACCTGCATGGGATATCTTTTCCCTTTAAATATATCGCTAAGAATGCTTGCTAACGTTTTAATGTATAATTTAACTAATGGTTTGTTGGTTCATCTATGAACAGTAAAATTAAATTATTACAATTTGCATTTACGATACTCTAACACTTACAGATAAATAAGATTAAAATAACGAGTCGGACAGTCGTTTAGATACTCAAGGATCTCTGATTGTTGCAATGACGATGTTTAAAAATATTCCATTTTTCTCGTACATTTTAATGTAAAGAACATTTTTAACGAAAGAACGTGGCAAACGGGCTGGCGATTCATCTGATGTTAAGTGATAACCACCGCCCATTGCCATCTGAAATAACCGTAGGGTTGCAGATGCGTTACCACCTTTAAATAAAGTGGGCCCCGGTTACCTCACTCACCAGACGAGACATGGAAGTATACACTTCCTCTTAACGCCGGTCTTCGGTGAGGTCGTCGTACTTACCCAGACGAACGTCTTGAACGGCCCTACCAAAGCATAACAAAAGATATATACAAAAGAGTCCTATTTATTAGGACATCTTCAAGATTTTGCATCTGTAGTTATACTTAAGGAACTTACTTAAGTTGACATGAATTGGCCCTTTGCCTTCGATTTTCAGAATAAGCAGCTGCCCTTTCATTTCGTATTGACCATCCAAAACGCCGGAGCACTGAAGTTTTAAATACAACTTTGACTTCGGTTTGTCGCGTCTGTGAGTGAAAAAAGTATACAGAAAAGTCAGAATAAAAAAATACATATAAATATTAACAGTATAGATATATATTTACATATTTTATATAAAGTAATATAACTTTTAAAAATAGCTCTAGAATTAAAATTGATTAAATGCATGTACGTGTATGCATATGCATGCGTAAATTTAAGTGGCTAGGAATATTTTATATTGCTATGGAGTCATACTTATACATGGAATTAACAATTTTTTTCAATATATACACAGACAAATGACGAAAAACACAAAATTTGTGCCAAAGAATGTGTTTAAACAGATAATTGCACATGTTGTAATAGTTGTATTACCAATTAGCACATTGAAACGTTTCACTTTTACTTTGGCAGTATTTAAGTACGCATTCATAGATCAGTTATAATTATGAGGAGAAACGGGAAAAAATAGCAGAAGTTAAACTTTAAATTCATCACCAATGTTGCCATGTCCCCCTATCCTAGGTGGTCTCGGTACAAAAAGTAAATTGATTTTTTAAGTGGTATTGCATGGGATTTTCACTATTATCCAGCCTGATGCCAACCCTTCTTAGGTAAAAACACTAAAGTTCGAAGCAATTATTTGTGGAATACATAAATACTGTTACCGTGTGGGAATCGAACTCTCGCCCCTGGCACCACAATAATATAGCAAACGCACCACCAAGGTGTTTTGAAAAAGCTTTAAGTGTTTTTACTTACTTGACTTCTTGGAATATACAATTTTTGAGTCCTGTTACGGTTATATCAGTAAGGATGAGTTTCAAGTTTGGTGAACTGGCGTCTATCTTTTGGAACGTGACGGGGTCCAGTGTTTTCACACCATATTCTGGCAACCCGGCGGCAAACATAGTTATTGCCGCTTGGGCAGATTCTTTTGCACATTTCGAATCGTCTGACTTGCATTTGGTGATGAATGGAACTGTAGAAGGATTTTGTTAGATTGTACGGATTATAAAAGCTGTCTTGTTTATTCCTGACGAAGTAGGGCTGGATGTGGCATTCATTTTTGTCAGACCATGTAGTGTACAAGGTTTAGGTTTGACAAAAACGTACCGACCAACACGTACGACTTAATTCCTAAGTTATTATAAAAAATGACGGATTATCCTCAAATTTTAATTTAAAAATTTCCGACACGTCCCCGTAACGGGACGATTTAGTCTGATCATATACAAGTTAAGTATATTTCGATAATGTTTTTTATTTATGCATGGAAATAGTAAGTTCCCCAGAAGATTTGTTTAAAATTAATTGAACCGAGATAAAAAGATTATAAATAAAACAAACGTTAAGGAATCAAGTCTTTATGTATTAGATGGTAGAATATCACCCCTCATAATTGAATAAAATAAACACTTAAGGAAATATAATAGAAAAGAGATTAACATTTTCGTAATAATGATATAATTTTTTTAAACTTGTTAATAACATTAATTATTTTTTAAAAGATCCAAGATCAGAATATAAAAAGTAGTAACTTGTATATCAGCAATTTGTGGTCAGGTTCTATCAATAATTAAGTATTTTCTGAAAACTTTTTGACGATGATGGTAAAAAATTTATCTATATGACAAATGAAAAAAAAAAAAAAAAAAACCTATAATACAATATAAATTAACTTAAATTACAGCATATTATCTTTTTCCAGGAAATCACTTCTCAAATTATGAAATATTACCTGATCTGACGTATGCCGTGTAGAAAACTGCAAGTATTATCGTAGCGAACAAAATTCTTTCCTGCATTATGCTAAAATGTTAAACAGTTTACTAAATGAATTGACCACAATGATCGGAGTTCCTGTTTATGAATCGTAGGACAATCTCAAAAACACCGTATTTATAATTTCATAAGCTTTTGTCGAGTCTGCATAACCTGCTTGGCAACCTTAACATAATCGTTTACTTTTTTCATTGACAGATTTTCGAGTTTCGCACACAGACAGACACCTGTACAGGTGATACCTGTATTTAAACCAGTCAGTTTCCTACAAATCGGAGGCACGTTCTCATTTCAAAATAAGAGAGTGAAGGGGTTCCCACTATGTTAAGTTAGCAAAAAATATAGGCAAAACTGTTCTGCCCGTGTTTCGATATTTATATGTATGATGTATAATGCCTTGTACAATTTTAATTAATTCTACCTATATAAATCAATAAAAACTTTCTGAGTTACATTAAGAAATGCTGTCAGAAATCTTCTTAAGATGTGTAATATTTTCTTCTTAATGGAAAAATAGAAAAATGAAATAGTACATACATGAGTATATTTATACGATCTATGGGGAAAATACATAGCATATGATTGAACAATTTAAACGAAAACAAAAAAAAAATATTGGTGGCTGATTAGTTAAAACATCGGCCAAGTGCAAGTCGGACTCGCGCACGAATCATTATCTGTAAAATAGGCAAATAATCATGTCTGTTATATGGGAGCCCAACTTAAATGTTTATTTATTCTGTTTTTTAGTATATGTTGTTATAGCGGCAACAGAATTACGTCATCTATGAACTTTTCAACTATCTTACTTTCACGGTTCTTAAGATTTTTAGATTCAGCCTGGTGACAGACGGACAGACAGATAGACAGACAGAGGGACAGGCAGACAGATAGACAGACAGACAAAAATACAGCGGAGTCTTAGTAATAAGGTCTTATGCAGCACTACCGATATATATATTAAAAATTAAAGTTATAAAAACAGATTGGTCCAAAATGAAAAAAAAAAAAGTTGAAGAGAGATCATGAGCAAAAACCTGTTTTGGTACAAACGTACATTTTATTCGTTTTTTGATTTTTTTGTCCTTTCTCCTTTTAAATCTTATCAGAACAGGATTTATTATAATAAAAAAATATGTGTCTACTTATGTACGCACGTAAGATTTTATACTTCTTAAGCGTAACAGAAGAAAATAAAAAAAAATTCCCCTCTGCCAGTACTTATTGTAACAGACATTATGCAATTGATAACGGTTTAATTTATTGAAAGAAATATTGCAAACATCAACACTTATTTGATAACAATATTAAAAATAGTTGCTAAGTGAGATTACATCATAAGAGAACTGATCACCCTTACTGTGATTCCTAGAAAAGTGACTTGGTTGTTTAACTGGAATGTCAGCGAAAAATTTGCGCTTGAAATGTGCGCTCACCTTTAATTCAATTTACTCAAACTGCACCAATGAAATTGTTAATTTTGGAAAAACCTACATATTTTCTAAATAATAACAAAAAAATTATATTTAGAAAATATGTGAAGTCCGCAGTGGGGCCGCGTGGTGGACTATGCTCTGATACTCTCTGCATAGAGTAGGCCTTTGTGCAGAGAGGCCCAGCAGTGGGACATTTATAGTATGTTACTTTTACTGATTACAGAAGAGAAATCAACTGATTAGAGTTATTGGTATTTTATAATCAGTTAAAATTAAACCAGAGTTGCGCTTCGTGACTCTTCCCGTTCCTCTATTAAATCATCATTCATTTTGTTTTTTTCAGGTGCGTTTTTTATTTTATTCCTAATATACAACGCAACGCTACTACCGCGACTATGTGCATTACACACACATATAGAGGATAACTTTTTAAATTTGTATTAAACATTTAGTTTTATTAAACACCAATACACCAAGTTATTTAATTTTCCAAATGAAATAATGTTAGAACACCCATATGTGTAAGACTGTAACGTAAAGTTCATTTGTAAAGGTTACAAAGCATATCAATTCGTTGAATTAATTTATAAGAGATAAAACATACTATTAGAAGGTGAGATTTGTAACGCGACATTGCCATAACTCTCAGAAACATTTGAACGTGAAAGACATACAAACAAACACGCGATCGTCATACTACAATTGTGGTTTTATTCCTAACATTTTATCACCGCCCCTCTCCTCATACCTCCGCTACCGCTAATTTCAAGCACTACAAATGAAATTAAATAAACGAAATTAATGCGTAAATAACTGACATTTACATCTGATTTTAAAGACAAACGTATTTATTTACACTGCTTGCTTTATCTGACATAGTACCTAGGTTACATTTTAAAGGTGTATAAGAGAACTGCTGTCCTAAGTGGGTTATGATAACCATAGGCGAAATTAATTGATGATCATGAGATGAACAACTTATTTTGCCACCTTCCATAGTAAAGTACCTGCTAAACAGTTAACAACTAATTTCATGGTACTTACAGTGAACTATTTAAAATTTTAAAATCATTTTTGCAAGTAGTATTTCACAAGTGGGGAGAACTCTCGCAGTTGTTCCGTCCAGGCTGGGCACTCCTCCAGCGCGTTTATCCTCGGCACGTACGTCACCGTGGTGGCATTCACATTGGGCTCCCACGTTGCCACGCTAATCAGTAGTGAGGGTGCCCTTTCGCCTGTTCAACCACCTCTGGTGTCATCGTCGTAACAAATTAACGTAAACATTATGAATTAATCATTCAGTTGTACTCGTAGCTGTATAGCATGTAACAAATTTTGTTTCTTTTTAATTTAATTAGTTTGTTTGAACTTAACTTCGTTTAACTATGGACTTTTTTAACGTTGACATTTTTTTTATGATTATTGTCAAGAAGCTTTAGAATTGTGTTCATTTATAGTGGTGATTGTAACACCATGCTTTATAAAGATTTTTCCGCTAATATAGTCTACAAAAGAATTATTAGTAATTAATTGTATGTCGTTTCACTAAAAAGTTCAAAATATAATCTAGCCTACTCTTATGAATTCTGATTGTTTCCTATTAATTGAAAACTACAGTGTCTTTTAGGTTGACTGTCTTAGAAGTAAATATACTAATTAAGTCCATTCTCAACACTAATTCTATTTACAGAAACAAGCCATATTTTTAGTATCCTACATTTTATATGAATTCAAAGTGGCAAGTTTTCCGCAATGGTCTGAAGTGAACACATTAATTATTGATATTTAATGGGTCACAATTTGTAAATATGCTGTTTATGCAAATTGCCGAGAAGTTAAGTTATTGATTCGAGTTGATTCAAGAAATAAATTGATAAGGTTATACAAAATTAAATATGATCTGAACTCTGACTAACTACCTAAATTGAGGTAAAATTCAGCTATTCCTTAAATATCCTTACCCTATATGAGTAAAAGAAATAATTCCCTTTTAGTAGACTCCTTGAAGGGATAAACAATAAACAATCTGCATTTGATTACCGTGGTACCATTATTTTTATTTAAAAATTTCGTAATAAATCTTAATCTATGGACAATTCCGTTACAGACACTTTATGGAAGAAGTTATTCATTTCTGAGGCCACCACATCAACTAAAGCATCTATCATGGGTGGACCAACTTCCATGATAATTTCATTACCGCTGCTAGCTATAACTTCTTGCGCTGCATTTCCTGTAATGTAATATTGACATGTGGAAATATCAGAAAGTATAGATTATACCACTATAAAATTAATACGGATAATCTCAAAGCATTTTTCTGTATAAAGATGTGTTGTCCCTGGCAACACTGTATACCGGTTATGATGTTAACTACTCGAGTGAAGGGACACAATCATGGTCGCATGGAGCAGCGGTCACTTGTTTTTCGGCTGCGTTCCAGGACGGTGTTATAACCACTAGTGCTGCTTGTCGTTATAATAGTTGTTAATATTAAAGTTCAGAAATAATTAAAATATTAGAATCTAAGTCATAACATTAGAACTCTTATAAGTGGTAGAATATTTGTGCGAAAAGACGACAACTCTGACTTTAAAATTATAAGATCTAATGTATGTCTCAATAAACTGTCTTCTTTAAGCACGTGTACAAGAATTAACATGGAATGAAATATGCTAAGTCTAACCATTCTACTTAATGAAAGTCGGAATTCGGGTACTTTAATTAAGGTAACCGATTCAAACAGATGATATTTGTGATATACTTACTTAAAACTTCATTTCCATTGAAGAGATTTCCAAAAACAACTTCTGAATTATCCTTTAGTTCGTACGAATGTTTCCACTTTTTGATGTTCCACCTGTCATTTTGTTCTTCCACGTCCATTTCCACGCTTATTTCAGCTTTTCCTGATGATGATAATAGAGCGATTCACAAAACATAATGTTATTTGTATTTAAAAAAAAAATTCCCAAAACGATTTATTTATAAAACGTGATTCACTTCAAATATTTCATTCAAATATTAGGTTAACTGGCGCTTTTATATAAAGTATTCTTCTTTTATAAAAAAAAAACAAATATACTTTTAAGATTTTTTGCCTGAAACCGAATCTAATTAACAACTACTGCAAACAAAGTCTTTGAATGATCAATAACTCTACAAGGTTATCCATCAACTATGTTTTGACTGGTGTTTTAAGAAGACGATATTTGTCTTTATTAATCATTATAGGCATAATAAATGAAAGAGGAAGTAAAGACTGACGGCAAATGATTTCATAGTTGACTAATTGAAAGAAAGTTCTCCCAGATTAAGAAATAATTGAAATATTTAATCGTATTAATTATTCTCTTATTCATACTACATAAATATCTCTCTCATAAAAATGTTAAGCTTGGAACATCTTAAAGTTGATTGTGTGAATATTTATTTAAATTATAATGATCGTTTATATAAACATTCCATTTCGCGTACATTTTAAATAAAACTTCTAAATTAGAAATATGACGTTATTTCTCTTTTGTCTACAAAAGAGAAATAACATCACATTAAGGATATCTGATGAATGTTTAAGATTTTACTATTGTAGTTACACTTAAGCAACTTACTTAACGTGACATGAATTGGACCTTTGCCTTCGATTGGTAGAATTAGCAGTTGCCCTTTCATTTCGTATTGACCATCTAAAACGCCTGAGCATTGAAATTTTAAGAACAATTTTGATTTTGGTTTGTCGCGTCTGTAAATAAACAAAATGTGCAGTAAAATTAGTCACTTTTCTTTAAAAACTAATAGAAAGGTCAAAAGTATTTTATGGTCTAAGAGCTAGCAACTTATCGAGAGAAAATTTCATGTAGGCCAGTTTTTACATATGCTCTATATATCTCTCTCACTCTCTCGGGCGTCATACGGGCTATCTGGCTGGTGGTAGAGGTTAAGTTCATGACTGCGCATCGTACCTGAACAGGTAAAATATAAATTTTTCAAATATTTTTTTTAATTATTTTAATTGAACTTTTTGCAACATGAATCTATTTTTGTCAGATATTTTATTCTTGTTTAAATTTTTTCTTGTTTATTTATTCTTGTTTAAACTGTGCCAAACGCTAATTTTTAATTAAAATTTTTTCTTTCAAATTATTTTAGTATAGCTGAGATTTTTATATTATATGATGTTGTTTAACTATCTAAAAACCCATAATTCAATTGTTAAACCTTCAGCCAGACCTTGTTTTCCCGACGTTGCTAGCTCTCGTCCCATTAAAGTATATTGTACATTTTCTTTTCAGAAGAAAACAACTTTAATGAGTTTTGAATTGGTCTCGATTATTCGTTATTTGATTAATTAGAAATAAAAATATCTATTATTTTGTTTTAATATGTATTAAGTTGTACTGTTATTGTATTCCGTACCGTGTAGGAGTTAAGCAGACGGCTCAGCGCGTTAACTTAGCCACGGCATAATATTTAAAAATATGTTCAAACGTTTTATACTTACTTGACTTTTTTTGCAATGCAATTTTTCAATCCCTTAATGGTTACATCAGTAAGGATGAGTTTCAAGTTTGGCGAACTAGCATCTATCCTTGGAAAGGTGACGGGATCCAACGTTCTCACACCGAATTCCGGCAGCCCAGCGGCAAATATAGGTATCGCCGCTTGAGCAGATTCTTTTGCGCATTTTGAATCGTCTGACTTGCATTTGTGGATGAATGGAACTGTAGTATTATTTTGTTAAATCATTATATAGAAAATAAATGGTCACTTCAATGTTCCCTAACGGAGTAGACTGGCGGGGTGGAATAGGTTGTGACATTCATTTTTGAATGGTCATCTACACTACTAACACACACAATGTAATTCTTAAACAAATAAACATTGGCAATCTCATGGGGACTAAAAGGATAAAATAATATATAAATTAAAATTGTATAATATTTAATTCGACATACATTATAGGGACTCCGAACCATAATAACAGTGTTTATATCATATACATAACTACAAATATATCTTTGTGTATTCCTTTTTTAAAATTAACTAATGGAAAGCATTGTTTCTACATTTTTAATACATTATATAATATCATTTGATACTCTGAGTAACATTTAAAATTTACAAATAAAATATTTGTGGTATGTTCTTATTAATAATTGAGTATTTTCTGATGATTTGTTTCTATGCAAAATTTTAAAATACCGATTAAAACAAAACGATGAATAGTTTATCTCGGTCTATTTAATTTTTCCAGTTACTCACTTCATGAAATATTATAATTTATGAAATATTACCTGATCTGACGTATGCCGTGCAGAAGACCACAAATACTACCGTCGCGTACCGCATGATAGTAAACGAGCTAAACAGATTACTAGCTAAAATTAACCACCGCTATCAGAACCAAATATCAGAGTTCCTATTGATGTATCGTAAGCCGTGCACGCCGTATTTATAATTTTATAAACGTTTGCCGCGCCTACGTAACCTGTTGAGAACTTTACTCGTAACATAATCGTCGACTTACTTCATTGACAGATTTTAGAGTTTCGCATACAGAAACCTGTTAGTTCCGTACAAGGGATTCTGAAGTCATGTTCGTTATATCTTAATCGGTGTTCTGATATAGTTTGGAAGATTTTATATATTAAAGCCAATTTACATATCTTTAATGAAACAATTATGAAGGCTTTCGTCGCTTTTTTTTTAATGTAAATTTTTTCGTTTTGACTAGAATACTTTAGTTACTTTAGTCACGAGCGAGTTGATTATTTATAGACGCGTCTAGATTCCGCGTCGCCTTATAACAGATTTCGAAGAAATGGATCTGACAATGGTAATAGGCCCTTCACCTGTAAACGGGTCCTGACCCGTTTGATTACTTGATAGAGCCGTCACAGCTCAGTGTCCGGGCGCAAGCCTTTAATTTAATATACTTAAGCAACCTAAGTTAGATGTTAAGTTAAGATTTTTGTTTGATTGTTAAGTTAAGTGCTGATTTATCAACGGTGAAGGAAAACCTCGTGAAAACCTTGCAAATTTTCGAAATTATAACGAAAAAAAATATTTCGAAAGTATTTGAAGTCCGCCAATCCGCAATGGGTCCTGTGGTATATTAAAAAAAAAATATTTCGGACATATTTTTTACACAACATTCTTTAGTCCCAAAGTAAGCAACGCTTGTACTATGGGTACTAGAAAACTGATAAACATACTTAAACATACTTTATACATATAAAAATGTATATATATATATATTATACATACCTATATATGGTATATAGGTATGTATCCTCCGCAATGGCGTCCCGTAGTGGACTATGCCCTGACACCCTCTGTACAAAGTTGGCCTTTTCCCAGCAGTGAAACATGTATAGGCTGTTACTTTACTTTTGTACTTTACGTAAAATGAAACTCGCCATACCATAAAAAAATATTGGATTGAAATACTTCATTATTACATTTTTAATTTAAATATGGCTATATAATACATTTTAAAATGTCCTATCCAGTAATATTTTTTTCGACATCCGTTTTTTGTAATACATTTTTCTTATTTATAAAAATGGTCTCAATAAATAAATATTCATTTTGGTTTCCATCAATATTAATTGCTACTGAATTTCACAATTCAAGTATCGAGTACTGGATCACTAGGTAATCTACAAAAATTATTAATATTGAAACTAAGATAACCAATTTAAATTAATTCTCATATAAATAATTACATTGACATACCATATACTTTACCAATATAGTTTTCACTTCGATAAAAAATAATCATCATCATCATCATCATTTCAGCCTGTTTGAGTCCACTGCTGAAGTACGATCCTGAGCCACCTGCATCCATCGACTTCCGGAAAAAATAATAGCGATATTAATTTAAAAGTATGTAGTATTTACAAAATGATATTGGGAAATGAAAATCAATTACTTGAACATTGTTATGTATTCATTATTTTCCACACCACCCTCAACATAATAAACATAACAATGATAAATATTATTATTCTAGTGGTAGGGCCACGCAGCAGTTCACTGTTGCACGGATGGGCAGGTCCCTCCGGGGAAGTACCTCATAGAAGACTGGTATGAAGTGGAAGTGTTATATTTTTGCCATTCGCTCTTTATTTCCTGGTGAATGAGGTAGCCGATGCCCACTGCATTAAAAGCTGGCAACGCATCTGCAACCCTCAGCGTGTTGCAAATGTCCATGGGCGGCGGCTATTACTTAACATCAGGTGAACCGCCAGGTCACTTCTCCAAAAAAAAAAAATTGAATATACATATTATGTGACTTATACAAGTGGAATTAAAATAATTAATTATAGAAATTTTCCGTGCCTTTTCTTTTTATGTGAGAAGTTTTCGCAAGATTTCGCTGTACGTATTTTATTTTATTTTTCGGAGCCAAATATTTGTTTATTATATAAAAAACGTATTGACGACGATATTCTGCCAGTACATGCATTTTCCGCCAACTGAAACCTTGACAGTTTGTGGTGCCAGATTAAGAATCTAGACGTATATGTAATCAAAGGTCACCAGAAGGACTGAGGCATAAGACGTATTTATGTCACTTGCAGTATCTAAAGCCACCGATTGTCTTAAATATGATTATTACGTCGGATGTACACAGAAAGCGCTAAATGAATGCTAAAGTCTTTCAGTGGTGGTAAACATGGACCTGGATTGGATTTGAAAATCTGTAAAAATATTATTTTCTCTTCGTAATGTGAAATTTTTGTGTAAATGTTAAAAAAGTTAATCACATATTAAAAATCGGTAAAAATAGTTTCACTTCATAATTTGCAATTATCGCATAAATGTAAGAAATTATTGTAATAACATTTCTTTTGGCGCGTTTGGTATAAATTATGAGAGTAAAATGTTTATGATGCAAGCGCATACCGACAGCCAAAAGGCAACATGATGTAATTTGTTGCAAAGCGACCAACTTCACGGTGTTACCATGGAAACCAATAAAATTTTTAATTAACAAGCTATTTAATTAAACCGTTATCAATTGCATTTAACGTATTTTTCACAAACAAAGAGTATTGGCACAGGAGATAAAATTATTAGTTATTTTTCTTTTGTTACGCTTAAAAAGTATAACTTCTTAAGTGCGTACATATTTACACACATACTTTTTTATATTTAGTTTGTATTGAAATGCGAATTATGAACTTTCATTTCTGATGTTTTATGACTTCTAACGTTCTAAACTTTACTTTATACTCATAGCTTGAAATGAAAAAAAAAAAAATTAAAATAATTGATTTTTTTTTCTTTTCAATTATAAGAAACTAAAATAAATTAAAAATTAACAAAACAGGTATATCAGTATTTTTCTAAGACCTTTGGGAATAATGTATAATATGCGGTTCATCGAATAAAACGTAAAAAGCAATTATAATTTTGTCAAGTGACAAAATGAAAAGTAGCCTCCGTATATTGCCAATAGCCCTACCCTTGTTTATTCATAGATGTGTAAATGCAGATGCCTGACGCAATCCATTACGTGAGACAGGCAATTTTTTTCATTCGGTATATTCAAAACTTTTTGTAGTATTTGATGATATCTGAATAACTGACGGCTAAACTAAATATAACTATTATATCAGATAATAACCAACGTCGTGAAAAAGGACTAGAAAAGAAAAAAATTCATTTGGATCCAGTTTTTTTTTTCATCTATATAAGAGCAATGCTTTATAATTATAAAACAACTTAGAAGACAGAGAAAAAATAAGTATAGGTGTTACAACTGATTGGTGCAAAATACACTCGAATGTATCAAATGAGATAAGGAGCAAAAAATGTTTTGGATAAGTAAATAATTTAAAATTATTTTTGGTATAGTGTGCAGTCGTATAGATACTGATGACTTGAGAATTTAGTCAGATCTGTGGGTTTGAATTTGAACAAAACGCCACTTATTTTTCAATGATTTATACTGGTTTATCTCATATTTGGTTGTTAAGGAAACCGACTCTTGCTCTTTTTGGAATATATATATATGTATGTAAGTTGAATGATTCGCTTATAATATAAGTTGTTATAGTTAATTTTATATTTTTATAACAGGTGACATGTAGAAAATCTGTCGCTAGTTTTTAAGAATGTTTAGCACTCACCTAAAACCCAGTTTCGCAGATAACATCAAACATAACATCAATATGTTAAAATACCTAGACATATTTTGCTTCTAGCTAATTTTCGTTCAAATTAAAGTAAAAAATTTAAACATTTTGCAATGTCATATTCATTACAATGAAACAGTCTAATGAATTTGACATTGTTATGAAATAACTTGTCTAAAAACAATATTTATAATACACTATTCCTTTGGATTCTAGTATTATCTAAATTCCTTCTAAGGATAGATTAATGTCACCACTGTGCCGTGATAATTTAAAATACGAATTTGATAAAATACTAACTTATCACGTGCTCGGCGGTAAAGGAAAATATGGTGAAGAAACATGCATTTATTTTCGAAATAATAACAAAAAAATGTTTGTAAGATATGTGAAGTCTGCCAATCCGCAGACTCGTAATTTGTAAAGAAGAACCTTTGCCCAGCTGTCGGACATGTATAGTCTGTTCATTTACTTTACAGGTGGTAGGTAGGTAAATTTTCATCGAACATATTTAAGTACCAGCTGTATCATCATCATCAACATCACCAGCCACAAGACGTCCACTATTATGCTTCCCCTTTAGATCTTCACAATGAACGACACTTTGTCGTTTGCCTCCACCAGTTGCCCGCTAATCTGAAGATGTCATCAGTTCACCTAGAAGGAGGCATTCTATCGCTACGATTTCCGGTTTGTGGAATTTCTTCGTTCCGGATTTTGTTACGTAAAAAACTCCGAGCATAGCGCTCTACGTAGTTGTGTGAATCCCAGCTTCTCTAAAAGGTCATGTCTCAATGCCATACGTCTGGTTCTTCACCTTTATCTCCAGATACTACGGAATCATGAACGAGATGATATCGCGTATCACTGTCCATCCTAGTGGGATTTTTCAAGCTAGTGATATATTCTTCGTTAATGTTGATACCGAATCCTCCCAATTCATGAAAAAAGCTTGAAAACATCTTACAACATTGTGAACTATTTCAGAGAAATAACGTCTCATGCATCTGCAATTGGGTTGCTTTCATGCTCTAGTTGTAATCGAATAGACATGGTTGTGTTTCTATACAAACACTTCAGCACCCCGATATACTTTTAGTCATATGGCATCGCGGAAGGGTCATAATAAGTCCCGAAAGAAGTAACATATAAATACAAGTACATGTTTAGAAGCGATATGGGTCTATAATTCTTCAAGGG